TCCTCCATCAAGGTGAAGCTCGACAGAGTGTGAGGGATGTCCTGGGTGAAGAGCAGAACCCCTTCCACGCGAGCTGGGAGGTGGAAAATACCTTTAACACTCAGGTCCCTAAAGTGCTGAAGGTATTCCCTTGCCCTTTTGTCCATAGCCTTTGTCGAGTTTTTGTGGAGAAGTCCACAGCAGGCTATAACTCCACTAATGGGGTGCTTGTAAAACGGGAACTGGGGTCTGTGTGGGCAGTCACAATAAAGTTGGAGGAAGTTCAGTGTCGGACTAACATTCCCAACTTTGAACAAAGACCACAGTTTTTGGTTTACATCCATGGGCCTCCCGTCCAAATTTGATTGGTAGTTAGCCGCCTCGTGGATGGACAGGTTGCTGAACACATTTCCCCTTGAACCCGCCAGCTTATTAATCCCCCATCTGGACCACATCAGGTCCACATCTGGGTCAACATGCCGGATGGAACATGCTGCATGAACAGTACAGGACCTGATGTGGTCCATGGAGGAGAGGATGTCCAGGAGCATGATGGGCTTTGACTCCTGCCCACCAAGCTGTCCCACTGTCCTCAGAACAGCCACCCCATTTGGCAGCTCAAGGGAGTCAATGGCTGTGTCTATTAAAGCCAGGAACATTGACTGGTCATCCCGAAAGAGCCTGAACTTTGCAAGTTCAAATATGTTATTTTTTTGGATTGACAAGCGTGTCATCTCCATCGGACCAAGATTTATAAGTTGGCTGACCACTGCCCTGGCTACGTCTGCTGCCACATCCTCGGTCAGGTTTTTAGCAGCCGCCTCCGATATGAGTATGTTGCTGGGAATAACCTTGTCAGCTGGGACAAGGGAAAGGATCATGACCCAGCCCCCTTCGGCTGTGCCCAGGTTGACCCCATACACCCGCCTCCACTCTTTCATCACCTCAGCTGACATCTCCCTGAGGGGAAGATGTTTTTTTAAAAAAGGCCACTGTGCCTTAGCTGGAAAGCTGTGGTGAGAAGTTGGTAAGTAAATGTAGGGCATGGGTGCCTTTAAAGCGGCAAATGTGGTTACCTCTAAAATTACCCCATCAATATCCCAAGAGAGATGCAGGGAGGTTGGATCTGGGTGGAAGGCAGCGTGGACTGGCATGTAGAACTCTTCCTCAGTCCTGAGGAAGCGCTCAACATCGTAATTGAAAGGCAGGGCTGCGTCAATGACGGCCTGACTGTTTTCTGTGGCAATGTCATCAAATTCCATCTTTAGAAAAACAAATAATAGAGATGAACTATTTACAAATAAAACTGTGTGCCAAAGACAATGTTTTGACAAACAAAAAGCTGCTGGTTGAAATAAGAAAAACAAAAAGCTGTTGGCTGATAAATAGCTGAGATGTTGTCTCTCCAAGCATCTGAATAGAAATGAATAAACCCTGCCTACTTCTCCCTTTTAATAGTGTCTGGTGAAAAATACCAATGAATTTCTTAATTTTCCAATTTTATTTTGTGCTCTTTTTAGGGTTAGGGTTAAAGGGAAAGGAAACTTAACTTCATATGGAAAGGAAACTTAACTTCAAAGGAAACTTAACTTCAAATTTAAACTTTTCTTAAAACAAAATGCTGATTGTTTTAATAAAAATTAAAATAAAATGTATTTCCAACTGTTTTTAAATGGTTTTAAATATTTTTAAATGTTTTTTAAGTTTTAATCTAGTTTTTAAATGTTTTTAGATTTTTTTGTTATTTTTTAAACTTTTTTTCTCTAAATAAACTATGTACAATCAAATATGTGTGCCCACGACAACGTTTCGACCCCTTGTGGGTCTTCTTCAGGTCTGGCACACCTCACTCAACAAAAAAACTCTCTCTTGAATGAAAAACAAAAGATGCTGGCTGGTAATTCTAAAGATGTTCTCTCTTCAAGCTTCTGAGTGGAAATGAAAGCCCTACCAACTTTTCTCCCTTTTTATACCCTCAGACAATAATTAGAGTGAATTTACTTATATTTAAGTTATTTTCTGCTCTATTTAGTTTTTGAAATGTTAACCCTTTCTGCACCGTTTGTGCTTTTAATCCATATTAATTATGTTTATTCACATATTTGTGCTTTAATAAACATATTAATAGGTATTTTTTAATCCCAAGATTAGGGTTACGGTCCTGCTTGACCTTTGACCTCTGTGGCCTGCTTGGCCGTTGGTCATTAAGTTGCCTCTAATGGTTAGGGTTAGGGTTAGGGGTTAGGGTTAGGGTTAAGGTTAGGAGGCTCCCACTTCTCCTATGTGTCCTGAAGAGCAAACATCTCACAGACATACTCAGACAAGTCCGGACATGTTTCTTTTTGTGCCCATAGCCTGAAGAAGACCCACAGCGGTCGAAACGTTGCAACTGGGCACTCTTTATCACACCTTTTCTTTATTTCTTCCTCCTCATAGGCATTTTATTTGGTTTTCTTTCTTTTATTTCATTTTGATTTCAGAAAACAACAAAAAAAGCATAAAAAAATTAAAGAACAATTCA